TCCAACCACATAGGAGTTCACCAACAGTTCAGCCTTTCCCACAACAGTTTATGAAAGAAAGTCGAAAACATGACTGATCCAGAACCCTGCAGAATAAAACAGGAAGATACTGAACAACAAATAGGTTGGTGTATGTTCTTCATTCTTCACTAAGTTTATAAAACTTCAAGCAGTTCATCAGATTCAGTGGTTGCAGTTAGAAAAATCATAAACGCTGTGAAATAAGTTAAAACTGCAGTACAGAAAAGACATGAAGTTACAGTGGTTAATTTTTTTTGGGATATTTACATTGAGTCGAGGCTCATCTATTCAGCATGGATAAATATGATGGATTGTGATGTACTGGCATCTGCAGTTGAAGGCATTGACAGTGCATAAGTCACTAATGCCATCAAAACTTGCCCCTCCAAAAAGAGAAGACATACTGTAAAAAATTAAAAGCATATTATGGGCCGGTATTGTCTTCAATTGTTGTTTTAAAAACAGTTGTTTAAAAAGAAAAAAAGAAAGCCAGAGGCGGAACCTGAAGTGAAACGAGGCTTCTGCACAGCTAAGAAGCTAGAGCTGGACCCTGAGGAGCCCCAGCAGCTTTGATGCTCCAAGACAGAGTAGGTTCATTTCCACCAAGGCTGGACCACCCTCAAACCCCCTCGCTTTGGGGCATGGTTTACAGTTGGGCCAAGATTTCTATATTGCCTAAAATGTAAAAAAGTAATTCAGAAAGCATCTTAACCCTTAAAAGGGGCCTTAAGGACCAAAATTGTAATCAGTACGGACGAGGACTTTTAAGAGGCTTAAGAGTTTTTTTAGCAGTGGAGAAAATGGACGACACATGAAGAGGGAGAAGAAATGTGTTGCACACAATGCATGACAGGGAGTTAATAAAATGCTACACATTAGATCGTGTAGGGATTGTTTGTGACCTTATTAGAGACACGCTAACATATCAGAAATGCCATAGAGCCACAAATGGAAGTAATCACTACATTACTTACATTTAACATATTTGGCAACTGGAAAAATGCAGCAGTGATGATTTGGGTCTGTCACAACCTTCTATAAGCAAAGTGATCACACAAACAATTACAGCACTTTTGGAACCTTATTGTGTTACTGTTCATTTCCTGTCAAATACATTAAGTACGACATTAACAGCATGGTAAATAAAAAATAAAGAATATATATCACTAAGAACATTTAAACTATAACTGAATGTATTTAAAGAAAGAGCAACTTGTTCAGTAAACCATAAAAAAAAAAGTTTAGTTTTTCCCCCGCTGTACCGAAATCATACCGAACCGTGACGTTAAAACCGAGGTACGTACCGAACCGTCATATTTGTGTACCGTTACACCCCTAATATACACACATAATGTGTGTGTGGTAAAACAGGAAAAATTACTCCTGTAATTTCAAAGTAAAGGCCTTGACAAATGTAAAGGCACCTCTGGTCACCTTAACCTAAGCAAAAGTTCTTTGGTCCCCAATTTCATTCCTGGGGGTGATTTTTTTTTTTTTTTTTACACTTTTATTTATATCTGGTTCATAGTTTTTGTAACCATATTTTAAAAATTTGAAAATGTTACAACCCTGACTTGTAAAATGTAGTTAATAAAAAACAAACAAATATTTTAATAGTTCTCAGTACAAAACCTGTGCCTGTAATATTTTTTAAATAATAATTGGATGATAAATGTACTTAATTCAAATGAATTAATCAAAATGTTTATACTTTCTACTGTTACCTAAGGGTTCAAATGTCTTTTTCCTTTCACATCTATTTGTTTTCTATACTGAAAACTTATTTTAACTGAACTTTTTTACTCTAATTTTAGACCTGAAAGAAGAGAACAAGGAGATTGAAGAACTGACTGAAGTGGAAGAGAAACATCATGTAAAAACTGAAGAAACATCAAGTCCCTCATTGAAAAGAAGAGATGAAATATGTTTCACTTGCTCTCAGTGTGGAAATAGTTTCTCATGCAAGCAAAATCTTGATGTTCACATAAATTGTCATCTTGAAGGGTTTTCAGATGACCCGAAGGACCACCTGAAAGTTTATACAAAGGAGAAGCCTTATGTATGTAATTTATGCGGAAAGAGTTTTATTCAGATGGGTACATTAAAAAGACACCAGAAAAGACACAGCGGTGTGAAGGATCATGCTTGCCCTGAATGTGGGAAGACTTTTTTTACAGATGGTGCACTGAAAGTGCACCTGATAGTTCACACTAAAGAAACGCCTTACAAGTGTTCACACTGTGACAAGAGATTCAAACGGTCAATATATGTGAAAAGACATGAGAGGATCCACACTGGAGAGAAACCATACACATGTGAGCATTGTGGGAAGAGTTTCGGACGAAAAGTACATCTTAACAATCACATGACAATCCACACTGGAGAGAAGCCACACACTTGTGATCAGTGTGGGAGGGGTTTTACACAAAAAGACCTCCTTAATGTTCACATGACAATCCATACTGGAGAGAAGCCGTACACATGTGATCAGTGTGGAAAGAGTTTCAGAATATCAAGTGTTTTTAGAGGTCATCTGCTTATTCATTCTAGTGAAAGACAATACAACTGTGACCAGTGTGGTAAACATTTTTTTAGGACAGGTGCCCTAAATAGGCATCTGAAAGTTCATACAAGGGAGAAACCTCATGTGTGTTCTTTGTGTGGAAAGAGTTTTAGTGAGCGGGATGCTTTAAAAATACACCAGAAAAGACACAGCGGTGTGAAGGATCATATTTGCTGTGAGTGTGGGAAGGCTTTTTTTACAGATGCTGAAGTGAAAAAGCACAAGGAAACTCACACTACAGAAACACCTTACAAGTGTCCACACTGTGACAAGAAATTCAAACGGTTAGTATATCTTAAAGTACATGAGAGGATCCACACTGGAGAGAAGCCGTATCACTGCCATTCATGTGGCAAGAGTTTCACTCAATTATACTCTCTAATCTATCACAAAAAAAAGATGCATGTCTGAAATTACAGCAAGTAATTTAAATGTTGATCTGTACTTCCAGGTGGGATGCTGTGTAGAGCCACATCAAGCGATTCTTTTGGTAATCAATCAATCAGAGATGAACTGAGATTACAATGATTGCTGATTATTTCAGATTTATCTGTAGCTTTTATTGATTATTCAGCTTTTGTAGTTAGTTCAAATGTTATATCCATTCTAACTAATAAATAAAACAAGGAAATCACTTGGAAATGGCTTTGTAACAAACTTTTAGTAAACTGAATTGATCTCCTTCAGGTTTTCTGTCCTCTTCAGAAGTCTTCAATACACCAACTTTGCTTAGAACTGAAGCAAAACAAAAACAAAAGGGTATTTATTTCAGAACACATAGGAGACTAAAATATTTATCTACAAACTATACTTAAATAGAATTACACAAACTATTAAATTATTTATTACAATACAAATAATTTTTTTTATACATTTTTTTTTAAATATTGGCACAACTAGGTAGAACAAAGGGAAGTTAATTTTGATTTAAAATATCTAATTGATTGATGATCATTTGTGTATACATGTAATAATTCCACATGAATCTCAAAAAATAAATGCATTAAAAATTTAATATTTTTCTTGCTGTACGGCCGGCCTAATTTGCCTATAAGCAGGCAGCGGCCCTGCCCTGCCTCTGAAGGCTGTCTCGTTTTGAAGGATCCTTGGAAAACAGCCTTAGTGTTGTGTCCTTCATTTATCTCTTGTTGAACTGAAGAAACTGAAAGAAAACGAGTCGGCACTGAGCTTTTCTGAGTTAATTATAAAATGTAAGACAAAAATGTATGAATGAAGGCGTACATGTTTTGTTTTGGTGTAACACTAAATATCACAATGCCAATAATGTGGCCACTGGGAGACCACATTCAGTTGTCATTCATTGTACTGCATTAATAGAAAGCAAGTTAATGTAAAGATTTTTACATAAAAAAGTGTTTTTCCAAAAATTAAGTTATAATAGAATTAATGGTATTTCCGTGCCATGACCATGGGGGTGGGACATGCGCACTTACTAAACCAGTGGTTCTCAAACATGTCCTGGAGGACCCCCTAGCCCAGCACAATTTGTATGTCTCCCTTATCTAAGGCAACTTTTGTTAATGTTGCTGTCAACAGGCAGCCAGGTGAGACACAGGGCCCACGACCGATCTAAAGTATCCAGAAAGAAATTGGTTACCCATTCTCAGTTGGAAAGTGCCCAAGCAACATTGCTACAAAAAAAAAGTTGCCCCATGTATCATCAGCCTAACACACCTGATTCAACTCATTGGCTCGTTAGTAGAGAATGCAAGACATTAATTGGGTGTGTCTGGTAAGGGAGAAATGCAAAATGTGCAGAGCTAGGGGTCCTCCAGGACAGGTTTGAGAACCCCTGTACTAGACCATCTCTTAAAGCCCAAAACACACCGCACGATTTTAGCAATCCTATAAGATCACTGCATGTCACACTGTACGACATAGATCTAATAAACTTGGCCAGGACGTGTGTGTAGACTGTAGGATGAGGACACCTACGACTCGTAAGCTATGAGTCCACGATGCACGTTACTATAGTAGAATAAAATGTCATCAGCATGCGCTAGTGGTAAACAAAAAGAGCATGATGAGCATGATTTATTTTTTTTCAAAGACAACGGCCGTCTTTGAACCTCTCTCACTGTAGGACCACCGATTAGGCGTCACGATCACAGAAACTGACAGGATTGTTTCACGATGCCAATCTCTTTGGGACAGCCGAAACTCGTATTTATGTTTAGGGCTTTACAGGAGGACTCTAGCGTCCAGATTTCTGACATGGAAACCAGGGATATTTTCTAATTCAGTGATCCAAATATAATTGCAATCGCACTTATCTATGAATAAACAAAAATGGGGAAATTTTTGTATGTTTTGTTTTAAAATTGTTGTGGTACAATGTAAAGTAATGACGTATATGTATGGTTAAGAATGATTGGCCATTGACCAACGAGAAACCTTTCGGCACGCCCATTTCTCCGACATGCAGTAGCTGTCTCTAAAACAAGAAGAAAAGTAGTCGCCGCTAGCGCCATCACACAGCTTCGAGTCTTCTGAGGTGAGATATTTAGTACATTTGTATACAATTCTAAACATACAGCTTGTTAAAGCAAGATTTTACAGGCTCGTTCTGTGTTGTTTTAATCTGGTGCAGTTCTATTTGTGCGCCTTTTCTGGCGTCTGCTGACTGAAATAAACATTTAGCCTAGCAGCAGGGTTGCCAGCCTTTCCAAATAATACGGAATCGTCCCGTATTTAAGACATCATTTTGTCCCGTATACGCAGGCATACGCCGTATGACCACCCAAACAATACGAATAACAAACTCTAAATTGAAATTCAATTTTGGACACCTTATTGCTTGGTTTGCGAACGTTTGCTGAAGGCGTTAAGACCCAGCAGAATCCTGGTCGCTCCCGCATCATAGCGAGAGGTTAATGAGATTTATTAAGATTTATTATGTGGGTGGGTCTGATATAATGATATATGTTGATGATTATGGGATAGAAAAGGATAAAGCGTATATTATTCAATTACTGGTTGTAATGGGGAAGTTTCATATACACAAAATGAAGTGGTCGTGTGGTAAACCAATTTTTTTTTTTGATTTTATCAACGAATTTAAGCAATACTGTAATATGGTATATAAATGTAAAACAAAAAAAGCTCTCAGGACTTCTAACATTATCTGCAAATTTGAAATAGACAAGTAAACTACCGTCTTCATTATTTTAGTTGTTTTATATATTTATTTTATGTTTTCTTTCTTCCTCTGGCTAATTTTTTATTTTACTTGTAATCTTGTGTACTGATGGCATTTATATGCAAAGTTGTATTTCTCTTATTGTTATATATGTTCATATGCAATAAAAAAATAAGATTTATTATGAGATTTATTGTTATATTTATTAATATTAGTGTATATGTTGTGATAAATTCACAAACCCATTTCCTAAGTTACTACTACACGACTGGTGCAGATTCTTTTTAGAATTAATTGTTTTTGGATTTAAGTTGCACATTAATAGCAGGGCTCAACGCTAAGGATTAGATTTTTTCTGCTATGGTGCAATTATAGCTTTGTATAATTATAGCACAATTAAATATAGCACAAAAAGTTAGAAATGAAATAATGCTTTTGGTTTTTATGTTTGTAGGAGTTCATGTACAGAAATTGAAAAATCACATAACATTTGTGTTTTTATTTGTATTCTTTACTCAGATTTTTCATAGCCATTTGAAATTAAGGTCTTTGACCTTAAAATTTCGGAATTCTCGTCCGAAATCTTCGCTCGTTAAAAAATAAATACGACCTCACGTTGTGTCAATCATGTTTACTTGCTGCCTCCGAAACTTTCGTCCGTCATAAAAAAAATTCGTACCAGGTTCAATTTCTACATTTTCGCATCCGTATCAAGCATTTTGATAGGAAAGGTTGACGAATACGAAAAAAAAAATGTAAAAAAAACCCCTGCGTACAAAAATTTCAGATTCCGTGTTCAAGTACCTTTAGAGGCAACCACTGCATTTTTTAAATCATGAATTGATCCAAAAATAAAAAGTGCAATGTTTGATTTATATTAGACTGTATAATCTCAATAGGGGTTCTCCGATCAGGATTTTTGAGGCCGATCGTCGATCACAGAAAGCAGTATCTGCCGATACCGATCACCGATACCGATCTTTTTAAAGCCTTCTTTTTATCATTTATACCTATTTATAGTGATACTCCAATCAGGATTTTTAGACATTTATTCATGGCCTGAATTTCATTTTTGAACAATACGATCACAGATACTGATCTTTTTGAAGCCTTCTTTTTATCATGTAGAATTATTTATAGTGATGCTCCGGTCACGATTTTTACAGACATTCATTCATGGCCTGAATTTCATTTTTGAAAATGGGGGGAATTCCCCTCTTAGGTGACTCTTGTGAGAGGGGAAGCAGCACATATGGAATGCCATCTCTGCCATAATTACAAATAAATAAATAAATAAATGTACAAAGAAATTTAAGATTTAAAAAAGCAAATATAAATAAATAAATATATAAAAAATATGCAAAGAAAAGTAAAAAAGCACAAATTAATTATTATTTATAATTTTATTTCCTTATTTATGTATTTAAAAAAAAAAATTCCACATTTATTTATTTTCACATTTATGTATTTATTCATTTATTTATTTCTACCTTTATTTATTTTCACATTTATTTATTTATACATTTCTTTGTCCGTAGGGTACCTCAGGAATAGCAATCGAGCCAGAGTAGGCGAGGGGTAAGCTTTGAGGCCACAGTGACACCTTGTGGTGGCCAAACGAAGTACAAGAAGTGTAGCCTACATGACGCGCGATAGTGTGGGGTGAATGATTTAGATGGGCAATATGGCCAAAATCTTATGTCACGGGTTATTATCAATTTCACGTGGGGAGAGTTTCCGAAGCGTGTAATCTGTGATCGCGTGCATTTGCTGAAGCTCGCAAAAGCGTGCAATCGCTTTCCTAAGTGCACTGTTTTTTTTAGGTTTCACTTTCAACGCATACAACGCATGTTTCAAAGATTCGGGATAGAAGGAGGCATCAGTTACAGTAGAAGATTTGTCGCTTCGCGCCACTTCCCGTGTGGTCACTGCATCAACTGATTATAATGGGTTCTCTTGGTGTAGACACGGCTTTAGACACGGATTTAGGCTGGAAATATCCAGAATTAGATCAAACAAAAGGTGCCCATGGGAATGGAGTTAGTGAAACACGCACGCCATGCATTGTAGTCTAAAACATGTTTAATATTTGCGACTGACACCAACGATTGTATGCAGCTATGCAGTGGAGATGCGTTCACTGTCAAATATCATTCAGTATTCATTTTGAAATTGTCAAATATTTTTCTTGATTACAAGAAAAAAACTCTATTGTTCTTGTGATTTATTTCTTGTTTTTTTAAACAAAAAGGCCTTCAGCCTTCCGCGTTGATTGGTCGGACTCGTGACTCCCAACAAATCAGATGGGTGGTTGGGCGGAGATTGCTGTAGACCACAGAGTGGTGAGTTTCGACAGGCTGCATCAGAGCCAAACAACGCGTTTCAAAATTAAATTATTGTATCGGCAAATTGGTTTTGAAAATGGACAATACCGATAATCATAAAACCGACATAAGTTCCGCTCCGACTCTGCTGGGGTGCAGGCCATCAGCACGAAAAAGCATAGGACGCTCCCAGAAAACATTCCAGTTATTAACAAAGAGCAGTTTCTGTTCTTTACACCATGACAATAACCATTCATTTAAAGCAAAAAGCCTACTGAACCTTTCATGTCCTCGTCGATACGTGGGAAGCGGTCCTGACACGATGATCGTCGTCGCAGGCGATGTGCGGCGCACCGTCTCGATCAGGCTCCTGAAGTCCCTCTTCAGTGTCTCTGTCTGCCGCAGCTTGGTGTCGTTTAACATTGGCTCCGATAATCTGCCAGGTCAATAATCGGTTGACCCCTAGTGTAAAAGCAGCATAACACTAATTTAAATGCATTATACGGAGACAAGATGAAAAGAAATCGCCATGTAAACTTTTCTAAAAAAAAAAAAAAAAAGAGCCAGTTTCCCTCAGAAGCACATTAATATAAAATTCAATATTTAGGATTTTCTTCCTATATTTCATGCATAGTGAACAGTGATCTTGCTCTGCCTGCTACAGTATTTTCTCCTCTCTGCAACCGTCTTCAGCATCTGGCTCTGTTAACGGCCGTTTATAGACTAAATATAATGATAACATAATATTTTCACACAAATGGGATTTTGGAAAATGATTGCAGTGCAGTGCAGCACGGAACAGAAGATAGTATGAAGTAAAACAAAAAATGGTCAGTCGATCGGTGAATCTTTACTCCACTGTATAAATTAAATATAGATTATTCATTGTTAAAGCTACAACGTTACTTGCCAAGACGGGTATTTTGATGCTTTTGTATGTATTTGCCTGTTCAGGTATATTTTATATATATATATAAATTAGTGCTGTCAAATGATTAATCGCGATTAATCGCATCCAAAATAAAAGTTTTTGTTTACATAAAAAAATTTGTGTACTGTGTATGTTATATTAAATACACACATACATATACATCTCAAAAAATTAGAATATCATGAAAAAGGTCAATATTTTTTGTCAATCATTTCAGACAGTGAAACCCATATATTATATAGATTCATTACACATAGAGTGAAATATTTCAAGCCTTTATTTCTTGAAATTTTGATGATTATGGCTTACAGAGAATGAAAACCCAAAATTCAGTGTCTCAGTAAAGGCTTGAAATATTTCACTCTATGTGTAATGAATCTATATAATATATGGGTTTCACTTTCTGTAATGAGTGACAAAAAAAAAATATTGTCTTTTTTCATGATATTCTAATTTTTTGAGATGTACCTGTATACAGTATATATTTTGAAAATATTTACATGTATATACATTTATATATTTATATTCTTATATATATATATGTACA